CCTCTGGAAATGACAGACATTAAGATAATTATTTAAAAATAAACTTTCTCATTTTGCAGTAACATACAAATAAATAAAACACATAGTGACTGTCTCTATCATTTTTTCGCTGAAAATTATTGGTAAAACATTTTTAAATACACTAATTTCAATGTTCAAGTTGATAATATTTATGTTACTTCAATTGAAAATTGTTTTTGTATATTGCATTTGGCAATACATCTTTAATATCCATTGCGTATTACGCAATGACTAAAACGTATCATAAAGAAAAATAAATTAGGTTTGTAGAGAATTTGTAAGGAAATTGAAGAGGCTAAGATTTGAATCTTTTGAACAATATATTTTTTTTTAATTAAAATATATTATTGTCTTTATGCAACGTTAGTGGAGGTGTTTGTTTCTCCATATTGAAGTTATTATCATGTGATTTCTTTCAGTGCAAATGACCAACATTGTTATAGTAATGAGAGTAATTAAAAATCAATACAGAATACTTACGATATTCAGCTACAGAGAGGTCATGTGCTGTTGTCCAACTTAAGCCAAGTTTTGAGTTTTCAAAACTGACATAAGTAGGATTGTTATTTATGCTTTCCACATAAAAGGGATTTTCTTTAACGTCGTCAACAATTGGATAATCAGTTACAACCAGGATTCCTATTGAAACATGCAACTATTCATTATTTTCAGCACATTCACTAGTAATCAGGTCTATATGATTGACATCTATCTCTCTCAATTTTTAGTTGTTGATAACTATAATCATTATTTGTATACTCATAAAGTCTACCTATTTTCGACATATTGAAATACATCTTGATTGTCTTCAAGCCATGACTTATTTAAATTTGTTTCCTCTAACATTTTAGATGGCTGATCAATTGTGTTGTTACACTCAACATTCGTGTAAATAATTTTTCTTCTAGCAGCCAATCTTAAAATGGGCCTATTTTACAACTACATCATAAAATTGGTTAAATCATCAATCGAACGTATGACATAGAGGATTAGTTTAAGCTATAATTACCCTGATTTTCTTGCACTTTCTCAAGGCCTGCTCCATTAACAGCCTTCACTGTTACATAGTAAGATTCACGATTGTGTAAATGCCCTTCTAGGTTACGATTTGTTCCTTCTTTTACATTCCCAACGTAAACAAAATTTTGTAGTTCTGTACCTCCAGGTGTGGTACCGATGGCCCAATAATATTCCTTCAATTCAAAAAAATATGGAAACAATTTAAAAAAAGTGAGCCATTTGAATATTTTCTACTTTTTAAACAAAATATTTAATGACTTTTACTATATTATTTACATTTTTGCATGAGACAGTTTTTAATTTTTCCTTAAAATAAATTGACCTCATACCACGACTAGACTTTCTTGGTCTAAAAATTCCCATGATGCCTTGATGGTGGAATTCGAAGATTGGGCAGACACAGGTTGGGTTTCATCGAGACTCACGTCATAATAACTCATAGACTCGAACTCTGGAGGTGATGTATCGATTGTAACACCGTCAGACGAAGAATTTGCTGTCAAGCCATTTGCTAAAATTTCTTCAACTGTAGAAAAAAATGAAGCTTTTCTAACTAGTTATAATAGGTGTATTTTATATATTCCTGTCGCAAAATATAGTTAACGTAATGCCTTTAAATTCGTCCATCTACTTCATTTTAATTAATATATAATATATAACATATATAATATATATAT